AGAAGGAAAGAGACCACTGGGAAGACCAATGTGTAGGTGGGTGGACAATATTAAAATGGATCTTAGAGCGATAGGATGGGATGGTATGAATTGGATTGGTCTGGCTCAGGATAGGGACCAGTGAAGGGCTCTTGTGAACACGATAATGAACCTTCGGGTTCTATAAAATGCTGGGAAATTCTTGAGTAGCTGCAGAATTGGCGGCTATTCCAGAAGGGCTCAGCTCCATAAGTAAGTAAGCATTTATTTTGGCTAGCGCGTGTGGTTGAATTGCCGTAAGTTAAACATGGCGCTTATGATGCAACCGCGTTGAACTAACATTCCCGGAATATAAATCTCCCCCACTCCAAGTCTCATAATTACATTGTGAGCTGTACTGTGCGGCAGTGTTGAAAATCTCCAGTATAAACGAGCTGACAAGTGAATACAGAAATGTCAGTATATTTCAAGGTAGGGGGCCCGGCAGGCTCTGTAATTGCCGTGTCAGAAGCTGTTACGGGCTTCGGACCCACTGAGCTGTAAGTGAACCCGAGAGGAGGCGTGTCCCCTTGAATGCTTCCTCGACTGTTACAGAAGCTGAAAGATTTAATGATTAAAGCCTCTGAGACACTAAATAATTTATCTATCTATGGCTCTACAGCCCTTGTAAACCTCAGCCACTGTTACAGTTTCTTAAACCTATACACATTCGATAGGACTTCTTGGAAGGAAGATCAGCTGGTCGCAACGCCGCTGCCTACACACAAAACAACACAAACACAGAATAAGCGCACACAGACATCCATGCCTCGAGTGGGATTCGAACCCACGCTTCCAGCGTTCGGGCAGGCGAAGATAGTTCATGCCTTAGGCGACCCATACACGTACGAGTCTGGCTCGGCGAGGAGCCGGGCTCTGATTAATTTCCCCACACACGTATGAGCGTGGCGACCCACACACGGACGAGTTTGGTTCATTGGAACCCGAGCCGAGTCGGACTCGCGAGCCAGACTCGTATGTGTATGGAACCCCTTAGGCTGGGGCCACACGAGGGCACAAAATGCGTCCGTTGTAACGAATGTACTTTATGACGGACGTTGCTGAGGACACCACACAGTTGGAGAATGCGGTGCGTAGTTTTTTGTCTGCAATGGAGCCAGAAGAGAGCGTAGCATTCGCCTCTCTTGTTTATTTCTACAACGGACGTCACGACGTTCGTTACAACAGCCCATTCAGGACCCAGGCCTCTTATTCAGTTCTGTAGGTAGACGGTAGGACTTCCTGGATGATTGATCAGACCGTCGCCAGGCAGCTACCTGAACATAGGAGAACACAAACACAAAATGAACGCATACACATACCCAACATCCATGCCCTGAGAGGGATTCGAACCCATAATCCCAGCGACCGAGCGAGCGAAGACAGTTCACGTCTTAGACCGAGCGGCCACTGTAATCGGCAATATAAACGATGTCCTGATAAAAGGTATCCAAAATAAAATTATATCTCAGAAAGAATTTATTATACACATTAATGGGTTACACCATTACAAAGAGAAACTATCAAAGTATTTTTTTGCGTATATAACTTTCTCAAGAAATTTAAATTTTGGCTTCCTTGGTGGCACGACAAATATCCAGACGACATTCGACCTCGTTCCACGTTGCTTGAACCGTGTTTGGTGTTACCATGGCCACAGCGTCCCTTATGCGGTCTTTCAGGTATTGAAGCTCGTTGATCTTAACGTGGTAGACAATGTGCTTCACATAACTCCACAATAAAAAATTCATTGGGGTTAAAACTGGCGACCTAGGAGGCCATGCATTTGCTTAATGTCTGCCGATCCATCTCCTAGTCATCTCCCTGTACAGGTGATTCCTAACATGGTGGCGCATGCGCGTAAGCCGGGCATGAAAAAAAAAACTTTCAGAATTTTCCTTTCGTTGACATACCTTTCATCCGGACACCCAGTACTGTATTTTTTTTTCCTTGTCACTACAGCCCCAGTGGGCCTAGGCCTACCTCCATGAACTCCGTTCACTTCGGTTTTTCTAGATCTTACACATTCGGTAGGACTCCTTGGGCGGGTGATCAGCTCGTCGCAAGGCCTCTACCTGTACACAAACACACACAAACTAAACATCCATGCCCTGAGTGGGATTCCAATCCACGATCCCGGCTTCCGAGCGAGCGAAGACAGTGCATGCCTTAGACCGCTCGGCTACCGTGACCGGCCCCAGTACTGTATACACATCCGAATAAAGGAACAAACCAGATTTAAAATGTTGTGACGATCAAATTTTTTACGATAATATTGAGTTGTTATTCCTATAACGTATAGTATGTGTCACTAGTAGGAATTTGAAGAAAAATAAATTAAATATATTGCTGAGAAATAATAAAAAGACCAACCAAGATACAACCGTACTTCAGGGGATTCACATGTTTAAGTACTTTTTAATGCTTGTTTTTGGTTACAAAATTAACGTTCTCCTCTTCTGTCATATCTCCGTGTCAGTTCCTCTCCTTCTAGACAAAATAAACCTAGACATAACAGACATAAAGCCATAAGAATTTAAAAGTTATTTATGTCTTGCAGACATGTTATTCTATACATGCTCATTGTTGTATGATATCAGTTCATGATTTTATTAGTATTCTAATGTGACTTCATTAATAATAGTATATAGAAGATAAAACAACATGTTACCTTTCATCTAAAATATTTTTACGATATATTTACAAGATCCTTATATAAAACATTAAATTTCTTAGGATAATAGCTTATCTTAAATTGAATACAAATATAATAAAATCATATTATATTTTAATTTATACCAAAGTGCTATATAATCTTCGTTCGAGAACACTGTTCAGGAACACAGAATTTATCGATTTAATCAACCAGTGGCTTAAGAACTAATAAAAGTCTTTGTTAACCAGATGGTACAGTTCTTACGCGTTAAATTAAACCAAATAATTTTTCGTTCGAGTGTTTAATGTCTCCTTTTATTATTATTATTATTAATTAAATATTTGTTTCATTTTTCACTTCTTAATAACACTTAGTTTTATGGTAATGAAATTATTATTATTGTTATTATTATCATTTATTTGCTTGTTTGTTTACTTTTCTTCATTATTGTGTTTTCTCAAGTAAGTGCCTGTAATTTGTTTTTGACTTATAATGTGTTTGTCTATAATGTACACGTAATTACTTTCATATACACTGTGTTAAGTCTGTAATTGGCCTTGCGGCTGTTGACTTGGCACATATATAATAAAGAACTGAAGAACTGAAATTGAAGAATTATCGCACTGCTTGTTTTCTCATTCTTACTGGGTACCTCAGAGACATGTTGACTGTGGGCTATTGAAGAAAAAATACCCTTCTTCTAGATGCCCATGAGCTGCTAAAATATAACGATATATTTAAAAAGAAATTGTTTCACTCCATCATGATAGATAATATCTGTGGCAGTACCATTTATTAAAGTATTAATTGTGTTCATAATAAATATATATTTTATTTTCTCACATTTTAATGATAACTTCTATTTATGTTCATGGGATTATTGTTATTATTTAAGTGATACAAATTGCGTTAATTTTCTTTCGTTGGCTTCAGGGTGATATTACATTTAATCCACTGAAAATTTTTGTTTGAATATAGAAAATGAAAAATGTAGCTGTCAAATGTTTCGTTAGAAACCCATATCGAAGGTCATGATTTTATTCTACATTCATAATTAATCATAATTAATCGCACTGCCATTACATTTAGATTTATATTTACTGATATATATCAATAAAATAGTAGGAAAAATATTAGTAAAATGACCACACCAAGAAATACAAAAGGAAGTTACATTTAATTAAATTGCTTTTCAAACTATTATCCTTAACGAAGCTGACGTTAGAGGGCGGCAATATTTCTTACCAATAAACAGAAAGTCAGTCTGTTATACGAAATTAATTCCCCTTCATGTCTGTCGTCCATCCTTTCTGGTCCTGTTAGTAACGGACCATCTGCGGCTTAATGAATAAAGTGCTTTATGTCCACAGCTGTTTCAATTCTAGGCAAAAGTTTAGTGAGATTTAAGAAATATCAAGAGGAGTAATGGCTGTAAAGAATAGAAAAGATATCACACGTACCTATTTAAGATAACTGGTAGCAGTCCTGTCTTTGTTTCTTACAATGTAATTGCTTTAGGTATCGGTCGACGATTAGAGTGGTGTTTTTGTTTAACAGAAAGTTGTTATAGACAATTATTATGAAAAAAAACTCGTTACTTTTTTTGTCAAAAGCTAAGATATGAAAAGTAAAGTAAGTAAAGGTATGCCTGTAACAGGCCGTGGAGGTCCATAGGGTTGTGAGATGTTGAGGTTCCCACATTTTCTACACAATCGGCTCATAGATGACGGTAAGGTTGTTAGCATTACGCGCTGGCCGCCCTTTACCCCCAAGAATATTCCTCGTACTCATTTATGTTAGAGGCTGAGTCGACCCCATGGCCATAGTGCGGCTGGAAGGATTAAGTAAATTGAAAAAATCCACTTCGTCGGGATTCGATCTCGCGACCTTCCGGCTTGTAGCATAATGCCTCAACCAACTACGCTACCGCGTGCCTCAGCTAAGAGCTATGATATGACATACACAAAATAAACAAGCAATTTCATTTCTTCGGCAAGTATATTTCGTGTTTCGCTGTTTCCTTAAAAAAGAAAAACTTTAATACTCCGTGGCCTGTAATCCGCAAGCGAACTATGCCGACCGAGCGACCGCCGCTTGTCGGCGAGGTTAGTGACAGCGTTAGCGGAGAGAGGGTGTCGCGTGGTCAGCGCAACGGATCTCCATTGCCGTTAATCTAGGTTTTCTAGACCTCAGCCGCCATCTCCTCGAAATAGCTGCTCAATTATCCTTAAGAGGCTGAGTGGACACCGTACCAGACCCCCTACTCCTCAGAAAATCTGGTAGCGCCGGGAATCGAACTCGGGACCTCTGGATCTGTAGCCAGGAACTCTGACCACTAGACCACAGATGCGGTCGCTGTTTCCTTACACAAGAATTAATATAAAATAAAGCATTATCATCCATCTAAAACACACTGTGAGAAATTATTGGTATTTATAAAATTCTCTTGAATACCGAACACATGTCTTCAGCGTTTAGAATAAAGTGATAAATTTTCCGTCGATGTATGAATTAATAATTTTAGATGAAATTGTTCCAAACAAATCTAACATACGGCAGGACCACTGAATGAAAAGTTAGACTTAAATAAATGAGATGAAATTCACGTGGCAGTGATCACGAAGATTTATGTCTTCTGGCACGTGATGCGATGCAGCTTGCTCAATATATACTGACGTTCCTCTGAAACATCGGGACTTATCTATAAAACAACATGGCACCACATCCCAAAACACTATAATCTTCTGGTTTAAGTACATCGTATTTTCTTGACTTACATTTTTAATGAAAGAATGTTTTTTAAGCTTCTCTACTCCTTTCTAAGTATTGTAGTAGATTTTTTAAATAAAAACTCATTATAACTTATCATCATACAAAATTACATGATTGCATAGCTCCACTTAACACTCCTGCAATTCATAGTATGAAAATATGATAATGTGAGCCACTAGCAGGTTTACTGATTATTACACTGCACTGTACACTTGAGCATTAACTCCAAAGAAGATATGGTTCGCCGAAGATTCCTGTTGTCGGACAGGACAGGCGTTATCTCTACTACGGATTACAAAGCAGATTTTGGCCTGAGGCACTTGTAATTGTGTATTTGAGGTTCAGAGGGCAGCCCCATCACTCACTTAAATACTGATAAGCTTGAAATTAGACAGAAAGCAGAAAAGTCTGAGCCCAAACTGAGAAACCAAAACAAGTTCCAATCTGCTCTTCATATTTCCTTAAGCTTCACTGCAAGCCGAGCTTACCGAAGAATATATATGAGAGCGATAGACACACTATTTGACAAGGAATTCTCAGCCACAAAATTACAGAAGCTCCAAACCTAACATGATGATGTAATCCACGGCCGATTAAGAGCACATTGGTTTCCTAACCAGAGGTATTTGATGAACGAATCCTTGTTTTAACACTCAGGGCTCAGAGCTTAAAAATTAAGATATTTATCTTAATAGTCTTTAGAAATATGTGAATCTTTGTGACACGCCTTAAAAATTGCACGAAACCATAATTCATTAAAACAACACGCACATGTTCATATTTATGCATTGTCTATATATGAAGAGTTGTAAAACTGTCCATGTTACTAAAATGTATGAAATATGCCTTCTTGAAAGAAACTATGCTTGAAGGCTAACAAATCAAGTGTAATGCAGAAATCAGTTGTTCAGGGTTAACAGCCTTTGATAATAAGCTGGGTTCTTGCTCTTCTCAATCACGTAGAAGGACTGAGGTTTACCGTTTCCAGAAAAGTGTTTCTGAATCACGGTTTTCCGTTGGTTGACAGGAGCATAATAAGAAACAGATGGTTTCTCTATGTGATTAGATTTCCTGTGGTGTTTCATCGGTTTAGATTTTTCGTGCTCTTCGTTTCCCACGCTCTGAGGCCATGAAGAAGCCTTCTGTATCGTATATATCTTGCTATCCTGCACCTTAAGTCTTGCATCAGATGACTTACGTCTCCCATTTTTTGCCATATTTTTCAAAACTGGGATATTCCAGTGATACACTTTCGCAGGTTTTCCGTTAGCCCTAAAGCTGACTGGAAGTTTATTAACTGCATTGAAATTAGTCGATACTTTCACTGGTTTCATATGAGAGTAATAGTATGGGTTTGGTGGCAGTTTGATGATGAACATGTGTGAGTCATCACTGTTGACGCCGTGATGTCTGGATTCACTAGCGACGCGTTTCTTGTGGTGATTCAGAGCCATTCTTCTGCGAGACATTCCAAGCCGTGTTAGCAGTTCGTGGTTCGCACTGTTTGGTGGTGCTGATGAGCTGCTGATTATCAGCGTGAAGATCAGAACTGTCAGCGGCACAAGACCCGACAATCTGCAAAAAAAATAACAACTATGACACCTTCAAGACACAATTGAAGCTCCAAATATTACCAAAAGCTGAAATTAAAAACGCAGTACTTTCAGTGACCGTAGAACTTAAGTAGCCACTGGGCCCATTTAAGTACCTTGCAATGAAGAGCTCCTGACATGGGTGCTATATGAAGGCGAAATGTGCGTTCACTGTGTAACCGCTTTGTCCTCAGTGGCACTTGGATTGGCCACAGAGCTTTGCGTTGAATCGAAACTCGGTCGTCAGTTTAGTGACTGAACTACATTATTATTATTATTATTATTATTATTATTATTATTATTATTATTATTATTATATTATTATATTATATTNAATTGTTGCCTAATTTTGCTCAGAGGTCTCCTAGAGACATGAGGATCTTTTACGTGCCGACTTAAAGTCCCTCCCGGAGGACTTGTTCCCTGAATTTTTCCGCCCTTAAAAATTCCACGACCTCCGCCGGGTTTGAACCCGCGTACCTTGAGTCATGAGGTGGGAACGTTACCCCTAGACTACGGAGGCCGCTGACTGAAATACATTAGTCCTATATCTGAAATGGAAAATCGAAAGAATTGAGATTATCAGGATTCCTTAAAAAAGTAACAGAGAATGCCTTATGTAATCATCTCTGGCCTTCTGTCCGCTTGTCTGTAATCTTGCATCAGCACCTAGACCACTGGACAGATTTTAATGAAATTCGGTACGAGACTTTTACAAAACTTTCTAGGACAATTCCGATTTTCCGGTCTTACTGATCAGCAACGAAACCTGTTGTATCTGAAGATATAAACGGGGTTTTCCATGTATCGCATAAACCACTTTACAAATTCTGTTGACATTTATATGGGATATATTCACTACATCTCCATTCACTATTCCTGCTTCCATGCAAGATTAATAAACCTCAAAGAACACCTTTATCGAGCTCACACTTTCCAGTCTCGTTCGTACACCAATGTGTCGTAACTTGCTATCCATTCACCTGATATTCCTCTCGACCTCATGCATTCACTTAATAACGCAACTGTATATGTGCAAATGGGCATGTACTGCTTTCGCTCGCTCGGAAACCGGGATCGTGGGTTCGAATGTTTCCTGTGAGGTACGAACTCAATTCTTATATATTCTTCTTATACACTGCCGGTCACGGTAGCCGCGCGGTCTAAGGCATGTACTGCTTTCGCTCGCTCGGAAACCGGGATCGTGGGTTCGAATCCCACTCAGGGCATGGATGTTTAGTTTGTGTGTGTGCGTTTTTCTGTGTTTGTATACAGGTAGAGACCTTGCGACGAGCTGATCACCCGCCCAAGGAGTCCTACCGTATGTGTAAGATCTAGAAAAACCGAAGTGAACGGAGAAGTTCATGGAGGGAGGCCTAGGCCTACTGGGGCTGTAGTGCCAAGGAAAAAAATACGTGCAAATGATCTCCGAACCAAGCTTCATTAGAGCCTCAGACATGACCACCGACAGAGGTGATTCTGATTTTTCGTCTCTTCAGAAGCCTTCCATTACTTCCCCTCCTGTAACTGTCAGCCCTCTGTTCACAATGTTGGGGTGGAGGTATAATCTGAAATTCCATTCGTTCTTCGTGCAGGAGGGTTTGTTACTGTTTTTCCCACGTACAATGATCAATATGCTGTGTCCTTCGTAGCGATTGTAGACTTGTCATAAGGTGCAGTCAGAAAACACCAGGTTCCGGTAGACTGGCCGCCTCCCAAAATGTCTAGTTGCCTTTCAAATCAGATTGTGTTTACAATTTCTTGAACATTTCATGTAGAAGGTAAAGTTATCCCAGTGCTGACTTAATTACTCATCAGGTCACAAAGACACATGGGGAAACTGTTTATGTACTGCAGAATCCATCAACAATGCAACAAATTGTTCCTTCTTTCACCTTCACTTTCGACACAACATGTTTCGACCCTAAGTGACCATCTTCAGGTGCCTTACTATGCAAAAATACTACAATATACTAATATTATCCATTCATCACCTATGCATGCTTCATGTTTCAGAACGTCATAATCATACAGATGAGCTGAAGTACAGCTCCGGGTATTCTTAACCTCGGCACTAGACTGAGGTGTCTGGCCAGCTTCATGACCCGACCGCCTTAACTTGTGAAAGGAACCTCCGATATCCATTAAATGGTTGGCTTGGGGTGCGCTCCAGAGCCCGTCAGGACTCTATATAGAGTAAATACAATTCCAATTCCTCTACTGGGAATCGAATCCCGATTCCACGGATGTTCAGCCCGTATCCTGTTCCTATACTACCTGAGCTATAGCATCTCCTGTACCAGTTTAAGTTGCTCAGATCGCCTTAGTTTCAGTGCATTCGACTTCTGTGGTTTCTTCAGGCACTTTGCGAGTGATGGTTCGCTAGCTCCTCGCCATCAGCCCCAACCTGGAGGACCAAGGACTTCTTTGCAGTCTGTGCAGATCCTCCTCTGAATCCTGAATCAATGGGACACGCTAAGCCTCCCCGTCGCTTCGGAACACTGGCAGAGCAGAGAAGGGAATTTGATGTTCGTCTTCGCCAGGAAGGTCATTCTTGGTTTCGGGCCCATTCGGGACACATGACCTGAAATGAGGCCTCCTCTCCGGTGAGAATACTCTGAGCACAGCAGTACTGTGCCTCTGGCTTCAAGACGATGGTCACGCGGGGAGGCCTGTAAATATGGATTATATCGCTATGAGAATAAGGTTGCCTAGCAAACCAGGCGCTGCACCAAAGGCAGTTTCGCAATCCTATTCGGAGGGTCAATATTTCGAATATCAGTGCGGTGACAAGACAGTCGTGACAGAGGTCTTTTGTGGTTCCTGCGTTTATCAGGCCGATTTATGGGATTGCACATTGCGATAGGCCAGGGCCTGTGCCATATCTCACTCACTCACGGAGCTGAGCCCTTCTTGAGAAGATGCCAGTTTTGCAGCTACTCAAGAACTTGCCAGTATGTTATGGAACCCGAAGATTCATTACAGCGTTCACAAGAGCCCTCCACCGGTCCCTATCCTGAGCCAGATCTATCCAATCCATACAATCCCATCCTATCTCTTTAAGATCTAATTATGATATTGTCCACCCACCTACGTCTTGTCTTCCTTGTGGTATCTTCCCTTCTGGCTTTTCCATCAATATCGTATACGAATTCCTCTTCTCCCCATTCGTGCTACGTATATGCCATGCCCACCCCATTCTCCTTGACTTGATCATTCTAATTATACTTGGAGAAGAGTACAAGTTATGAAGCTCCTCATTATGCAGTTTTCTCCAACCTCCTGTCACTTCATCCCTCTTCGGTCCAAATATTCTCCTCAGCAATCTGTTCTCAAACACCCTCAGTCTATGTTCCTCCCTTAATGTCAGAGACCAAGTTTCAGGCCCATACACAACCACAGGCAAAATTATAATTTTGTATATTCTAATTTTTATGTTTTTAGACAGTAGACGAGAAGACAAAAGGTTCTGGACTGAATGGTAGCAAGCATTACCCGAGTTCAATCACCTCTTAATTTCCCCCTCAATCAGGTTTTGATTTTTTATATTCGTTCCCAAATATCTCAACTATGTCACATTTTCAAAACAACTGTTCGCTACCTTTATGTTATGATTTTGCATTCTGGTGACGAGACAGCAAGACCCCCCCCTTTTTTTCCTTGGTACTATAGCCTCAGTGGGCCTAGGCCTACCTCCATGAACTTCTCCGTTCACTTCGGTTTTTCTAGATCTTACACATTCGGTAGGACTCCTTAGGCGGGTGATCAGCTCGTCGCAAGGCCTCTACCAGACCAACCTCCTTACTAGCGTCAAATAAAGTTCGTGTTTTTCTTAAGGATATCTACATTATCGGAGCCGGGGTAGTGTAGTCGGTGTAGAGACTGGCTACGGGTTGGACGATTGAGGGATCGGAGTTCTAGTCCCAACAGAGTCAAGAATTTTATCTTCTCCAAATCGTCCAAACCGGCTCTGTGGTCCACGCAACCTCCTATACAATTGGTAACTGGGGTTCTTTCCCCGGGGGTTAAAGCGGCAGGGACGTGACGCTGATCACTCACCTCCAGCTAGTGTCGAGGTCAAGAAAAGTGGATCTATACAACCACTTCCCCATACGTCTTCATGGCGTAGCACAGGGATGACTTTTGCTTTATATCTACATTATCACTCAGTATATTCACATTATCAGCATAGACCAGCAGCTGATGTGTCCCATCTAATTTCAGTCCCACCTGCTTTTCCTGGACCTTCATAATGGCATATTCTAAAGCAAAGTTGAAGAGCAGTGGCGTTAAAGCATCTCCTTGTTTTAGACCATTCTGGATAGATCCATATCTTCTACAATTTAATAATATTCACGATTATCCTAACAACGGATGCTGCATGATAAACTCCGTTGAATCGTGCCGCTAAATAATCTAATAATTAATCAAGAGTCAACAGGCCAGTAACTCGTAAGATTCTGTCAGCCTGCCTTTATAGGGAAAGACGTTTAAATGAAAGTACGCTTAGAAACTCTTTCTCGAACGTAGCCAAAAACTGCTCACAAAGCGCCTTACGGCTCGGCGGGAATTCGCCATACCCTAAACCCAACATAAAGGAAACCGTAATTTATACGTACATTGTCTCGTCTGTTTCGTAGTAACGACTCACCTGCTTCGACCTGGTAATTACATGTAACGTCTGTAAGAATTGCACTAAAGTACTTCTGACTTTTGTTCAACCAAATTTCTCACGATGATTCTGTTCTTTCTGTTTCCCGTCTCTCCAGTCTGTTCCAGTATGAAAGGGAAGCCATCAAATTAGATCAAATTAGGAACTCATTCTGGTACCAGTCATCACCTCACTCCACCCCCACCC